AATTTTTATCAAAACAAAAATTAAATTTTGATTAAGATTAGGGTTAGGGTTAAAAGCTGGGATGGGGTGGGAGCTTAATTTATACCAAAATTTTGTAAGAAATTTTTTTGTTAGAAATCGAAAGGTGGTTACATAGGTAAAATTTTGAGCTATACCTATTTTTTTGTAAAAAGACAAAATTCTACGTTACACCTGATCTTTTATGTTACACTGCAGCTTATAATAAAAATTATTGTGGTGTTGAACACCAGTGGTATGATTTAACAATGCCGAAAATAAACCTTTATGATATTAATCCGTACATTACTGTTGGCCAAACTGAAACATCAAAGAGACTTGATGAATTTATTTTATAAAAGGCAAGAACCTTAACAGATGCTTCTAATATACAGTATAGTATATTTGCTGATATATCATATACTTAAATATTCACAGACTAATAAAATAAATACACATATACACATTTTAATAAAATTAGCATTGCAAATCAAAATAGAAATCTCAATTTTTGGATTTTCATTTCACAAAATAGGGTTGGCAAGTATTTATAAAATTAGAATTTACAAACTACTACTGTATTGTGTAAAGTAGAAGATCCAAAAATGTTTTAAAAATAATACACATTACCGTTAGATGCTCTTCAGGGTATTTAAGTCCGGCAACTTCAATAGAATCAATAATTTTTCGAATTTTGGATAATTCTTTAGTGTTTAAATTAACATTGGCAGCATGAACATTTTCTTCCAAGTATTTAATTTTTTTAGTAGCAGGAATTGCAACAATATTTTCACCCTAATTTAGCAGAGATCAGAATGTTAAAATACTTTTAATTATGATAATGTTGTGAAATAATCCTTGTTTGTTATTTTGATAAGTGCTTTTTTGAGATACTTATGTGCATTATGTTAAAATACAAAATTTGAACTTTGTATTTATATATCAAATCTGCCAATATATGTTATACAAAGTGCATAATATATTTTTAGGAGCATCACTTCACAACTATATGATATGAAATAATTTAACATTTATATGATTAAGAATAGAATTGAAGCATACCTGAGCCATTACCCATGCCAAACAAATTTGGCTAGCAGTAACGCCTTCCTTTTCAGCTATCTTTTCAATTTCTTTTACGAGATCTAAATTTTTAGTAAAATTATCTCCCATAAAATGAGGAAGGTATCTATGAATATCATTAGGTTCAAAATCATTTATGGATTTATATCTTCCCTGTATATTTATAATTAATAAAGAAATTAGTAATATAACTATATTAGCCAACATATTTATTATACAATATTTTTCTGTAAAAATAAATAAAATAATCAAAAGGCATACTGATAAAATACCACGTCCTATTGGACTATATGCAATAATTGTAACGCCAAGTTTTTCACAAGCTTTTTTAAGTTCAATGTCAAGGGACCATGGGCTGTATTCTATCTATATAGAATGATATAGAATGTAAATGTATATATAACATTTAATATAAATGTATAGTATAAATATGAATATATTTTATTATATTGTTTAAATTATTAAAATTATATACCTGAACAGCAGCGATTGGATGAACTTTATGAGCACGTCGAAGTATATCAGCTGAATACTCGGAAAGTCCAATATATTTAACTTTACCCTTTTCAACAAGCTCAGCCATAGCTTTAACTGTATCTTCAATTGGACTGTGCATTATTATATTATCGTTATTAACAATATTGTTAAATATATATTAATATCTTACTAATTAATAGTAATAATATAAAATTATATTTACATAGTAGAGTCGACACGATGTTGATAATAAAGATCAATACAGTCAACACCTAATCTTTGTAAGCTTTTTTCGCATGCTTTATGAACATATTCTGGCTTCCCATTTACACCCAAGAACTCCCCATTTTCTCCACGAACATTACTAAATTTTGTACAAAGAAAAACTTTATTACGTTGATCTTTAAGAACTTTTGAAATTAATATTTCATTGTTTCCGCAACCATACATGTCCTTGATTATAATTATTCGTAAGAAAATAAATTTATTGTATCGTATGATGTGTATGCATGTTATATTATATAGCGTATATATTAAAAAATTTCATTTTACATTAAACCAGTTTATAATGAATTATTCATGTAGAGTAAAATTATTTAATGCAAGTATCTAGATAATGCGATTAAAAATTATACTTACTGCGGTGTCTCAAAAGACGCATTCTAAATCAATCACACGATTTAATACTTTTAAATTTTCCACTTCATTGCTTGATCCGTAAAATTCACACATTTCCTTAATTACAGGAAAATAATCTATTTAGTTATTCACGTATGTATAATAAAGTATGAGACTTTAATTTTGTACTATACATCCAAGTCCAATTGCTGGAATTTTAATGCCAGTTTTACCAAGTTCAAATTTTGATAGAGTTATATCAGTAAAGTTATATCAGTAGAGTTATATCAGTAGATTTATATCAGAGAAGATGTTAGAAAATTTAATCAATATCATTGTCTTTATTGTTGTCATTTATATAGAAAATTTTTGAACTAATGTTGAGTTTACTGACAGCCACTTCCCCGACAACTACTTTCCTGTGAAATGGTCTTGTCAGGGAAATAGTTATTTTGGGGAAATAATTGTCGGAAAAATAGTTGTCAGGAAAGTGGTCGTCGGGTAAATATCGGTAAACCATAAGTTTACAAATCTAAAAATTTTTTTAATAAATTCGGCAATACTGTATGCCCGAAATTGGGTGTGCATTGCCATATATGTACGTACATATGCAGATTAGCTTCGCACATTGTGTAAGCAATTTACTTATTTGCATCAGTAACACAAACCAAAAAAGGAAATCAAAATTTTGTAAATAAGCTAAATGTTTATTAGGGATATGGGTTTAATAATAGTCAATTATTAAGGAGAACAGTTTTGAAAAAAATGCATTATTATTTATTATACAACAAGCAGGATGATATATCACCCCTTAGTAGTTTGTATATCATTAATACATTTGTTTGAGCATTATATTTATACATTTTACCTCCAAAGGAGTTTCGAACTCTAATTGGGATTTTAATCCCTCGATGAAAGTTTTAATACCTCGTTCGGGATCTCAACTTCCCATTATTATAAATGTAATAACAGATGTAGTCTTATTATAGAAAAATGAAATAACAATAAAATTAGCGTAGCAGCGGCAATTTAATAATGCCGAAATGCTTCAGGTAAATCCATAATAGTTTTACGTCATGTGTAACTAGAATAATTAAAAGAGATAATGTTTTACTATATCTATAGTTAGATTATAAAAATAAGTAGCTGTACTACATTGCCAGGAACGGATGAATATAAGCTTAAGAAAATATTGGACAACTCCAATACAGAATAGTTATAGAATAAGAGTGTGAAATACAGTACTTTAAAAAACACAGCATACCAATTGTCAAATAGTTATGCAATCACCGTAGTGACTGCAATCTGGCCCAGATGGTTTATTTGTTTATGGTCTTGCTTGGCAATTAGAGACACCTACTTTAATGACGCACTTAACACTCTCAATTCCAGTCGAAAGACTGAAGAATTTCTTTATTTACCTTTCGCTATTTATGCAATTCAAATAATTACATATATTGTATTACATTTTAACTATTTCTTTGTTATTAATTAATTTGACTTTTCATTGTTCCCCAACTAATTCGTCATATTCATGCATTTGATGATCAAGGTACCTATCGTACCTAATCTCGATTAATCTCTGACCCCTTAATTATCAGTATAACCCTGATCGATCACATGATCACGTGAATCGATCGTTCCATATTCTTTTACTGCTCTTACACTCTTTGACTCACTAAGTAATTCGTTGTCTATTTGCATACCTTTTACAATATACACGGAGTCTTCGAAAACTATGCGACACCAATCCACTATAATTTTCTAATGCTAGCCCTAATAGCACATAACGCCAGAATAAATATTATAAATAGTGATATTTCACACCCATACGTACATGCTAATTTGCATAATTCCTGGTAGATGATAATTATACAGGGGTGCCCTTATGTCAAGCAAATTCCGGGCTGAAGATCACTTCCGATCATAAATTTCGTAGATCAGATCCAATAAAATTACAGGATCTCGTGTAACAAAACAAACGCATAAAATGTAAGAAAATGCAAGAAATTGTAAATAACGCGAAATTTTACTATGCCAACTAACTTTCGACCTTAAAAAAAAGTTTTCGGCACGAAATTTTAGTTATAGGGAGCATTTTTATATACTAAATATATGGGAAATTTTTGATATACTACAACCCAAAATTTTTAGACCGGAAGTGAT